CGGGGCTCTACTCTGCAGAGCACTTCCCGCTTTCTCTCCTGTATTCAGAGCCCCACAAGGATGAAGAGAGGCTGGTTCTGAGTGGGGACCCAGGAAGTATTTGTTAAATGAACGTGTGAAATACAGGACAGTATAGATGCACAGAGGGTGAATGGGTGAGTGAATGCAAAGTACTTTACCAGTGTCAATGACATAAAGTTGTTTGTATGAAAGCTGGTGTGTCTTTAAAGACCATGTGAAAGCCCAGGAGAAGCTGAAATGGGAGGAAAACTAAGAAACAATAACAACTGAACCCAGTGTCCATTTTTTAGAGGGATCTGGGAGACATCTGTACCAGAATGAAATCTTGTCCCATCCCAAACATCTCATCTCTCCCTCCTCCAATCCTTCCCATCCCCACTTCCAAAACCAGACCCCAAGGCCCACCTGGGGAGCCCTGGGCTGGGCTGAGCTGACCCAAGCAGCTGGGAATGCAGCTCACTAGGGGGCACTCTTTGGTCATACTGGCCCTTCCCTAGTAGACACAAAACCTTACCCCTGGGCCCTTTCCTACAAGGCGTGCAAACCCAGAGGCTTCCTGCATTCTCTGAAGCCTTCTATCAAGAGCAGAGGATTTTTCTAGACAGCAATGGCATGCCTACCAAATCAGTACCCACAGTCCAAGGTAGCTTTGCAGAAAAGGCAGGTGACTGGGACTAAGCTAATATTTCTAAAAGATCTTCCTTTAGCTGGAGTGGCACATGCCTGTAATCCCAGCAGCTCTGGAGGTTGAGGCAGGAGGATGGCAAGTTCAAAGCCAGCCTCAGCAATTTAGCAAGGCCCTAAGCAATTTAGTGAGACCCTGTCTCAAAATAAAATATAAAAAGGGTGGCGAACAGAGGAAGTGGTTAAGCACCCTTGGGTTCAATCCCCAGTACAAAAAAAAAAATCTTTTTTTATTTATAGGCCTGAAGTTCCCAGTTCCAATCCCTTCCCTTTCTGATTGATGACTCAGACATAGACTGAAGGGTGCACTCCCACAATTTCTCCTCTTATTCGCCTATATCCATTAGACACATCTTTCAGGCAGGACTGGGAGTGATGGAGGTCCTGGAGAGGAGGAAATGGCAGCAATGGTCAGAGGTCCCTTCCCATTCTGTGGTCTCACCATTTGCAAAAATCTCCCCAGCCCTTGACCTTCAGGGGCAAAGGACCACAGAAAAAAAGCTAAGAACTCAAGGGGTGCATGCAATTTGGAAAGACAAGGATCCTTCATTTTTTTTTTTAGGAAACCATCCTCTGACCTCAACCATTATGGAGTTTTAATTCACAAAGGCTTCAAAGTTGGATTTAATTCCCAGAGACACAAATAGGGGGAGGGCAGGGGGCAACCTGTGAGAGATTCCAGGGCCTAGAGTGCAAGAGAGCTGAGGCCTCGAGGAGCAGAAAGCAAGGGCTTGGGGAGAAAATTTAGAGGGAGGGGTGGTGAAGGGGGTGAAGAGGGACAGGACTTTGCATAAGGACAAAGAGAAGAAGGCTCTGACTTGGATCCTCTTGTCTTGGAAGTAGCACTGGAATTTCCATCTCAATGTCCAGGATCTTTCTGTAGTTTGCTTCCTGCCCCAGATTCTGGTAGGCTTCCGGTTCCCATAACCTGTCAAACGGAGTGTTCAGGGGAGGCTGGAAAGGGGAATTTCACAACTAGCCATCTTCTTTTGATGTTGCCATCCAGGCCCTGAAGCCCCTCCCCCACCAATCAACCATTTGAAAAGTGAGAGGGACCCGGTTCCTTCTCAGCTCCATAGAAGCAGGCTGCTAAGGGAATGGGGTCCCCCCTAAGAACCCTTTAATATTTCTGTCAGGTGCAGTGAGATGCAGCTGCAGGGCCAGACTGAATTTCTATCACAGGCACAGACCCAGGCTAAGGAAGAATGAGGGTGTGATTGCCTGGATCTCTTGCAAAGCCCCATACACACCTATGATACACCACGCCCCTGCGGACCGCCCTCTGCAGGGCAGAGGCCTGAAGCCTGTCTTGGTCTGAGAACTGGGTCACTTCTGCATCTTTCCTGGGCAGGATTCCAGACAAAGCCAGCCACACAGTCACCTGGGAAGAATCATTACCCGCGGGTTGGGAAGGGGGAGGTGGGGGGAGGGGCAAGGCAGGCCTAGAGACGTGGATGAGGAAGAAAACCCTTGTCTCTCTTCTCCTGTCAGCAAAGACTTATATGCAAGCAGCCTGGCCAGCCAGTGCCCACCTATGAGTATCTGCTTCAGGCACATTTGAGCACACACATACTTCAGGCGTGCACACACACACACACATACACACACACACACTTTTTAGAAGGGCTTTATTAAAAATTAACAATGTCCTTGGCTATTGAGCTTGCAAAATTTCCTTGTCCCTGGTTCCCTCCAGCAAAGTCTGGGAATTGGAAACTCCATGCTGAGGGGAGGAAGGGAGGGCCCAGCCAGTGGTTGTGATCAGCGCAGACTTTCCTGGGGGTCTGGGACTGTCATCCCTTCACCCAACCACTCTGAAGAGCCAGGCATAGCTGCCAGCTCAGGCAGGTTCCACTGAGGCCCCTGGCCCTGCCCTGCTTGAGAGACCCTTCCCTCCATTCTTCTTGCAGAAAGGAGAAAAAAAAAAAAAGAAAATGTTTTTCTTCTTTTAGAAAGTTTACAAATTTGTAAAGAAAGTTTACAAATTTATCCATTCAAGTGTTGGGATCCCCCTACTCCTCCTGTCTCTCCGGGTCCATCTTGGTCTGCAGCAAGCTTGCCCCCCACTCTAAGAGGTACCTCCTTAACCCCAGCTGCCCTGAACTGACCCCTTTCTGCAACCATTTGAGGAACATTTGTTAAGCATTTTGTTAAGTGCCCCCCCAAAAGCCCCGGAATGACAGGACTGTCCCATGTGGCCTTTGTCCTGGTTTTGCAACCCCAGAGTGCACATACCCACACCCACTCTCATTCATACCTCCACCAAGTGTTTCCAAGAAGAATGCTATCCACAAGGCAAGGCCTCCTGGGAACCCCTTGTCTCTTCCCTCTCCTTTATAAAATTCCCATCTACTGTGTCTAGTTAAGAGAGCCATATAGTGGCCATAGCTTCTCTTTGTTAGCTTGCCATAAATGACCCATTTTCTCATTTGTCTCAGATCCAATCACTATCTGAAAGGCAATATTTGGCTTCCAAATAAACCACACACACACACACACACACATACACACACTTTTTTTAAGGAGGGCTTTATTAAAAATTAAGAATGTCCTTGGCTTTCCTATCCTTCACTATCCCCCCTCCCCTCCCCTCCCCTCCCCTCTCCCATCTTCTCTCCCTACCCCATCTACTGTAATTCATTTCTCTCTCTTGTTTTTTTTTTCCCTTTCCCCTCACTTCCTCTTATATGTAATACAACATACACTAGTATGGCAGTAGGTAAAAAAGTGGATGTGTAACTGATGTGAATCTGCAATGTGTACATAGGGTAAAAATGGGAGTTCATAATCCGCTTGAATCAAATGTATGAAATATGATATGTCAAGAACTTTGTAATGTTTTGAACAACTAATAATAAAAAAATAAAAAAAATTCTCTCTCTCTCTAAAAAAAAAAAAGTAAATAAAGTATCTTGAAATTAAAAAAAAAAAAAAAAGAATGTCCTTGGCTATTGAGCTTGCAAAGTTTCCTTGTCCCTGGTTCCCTCCAGAAAAGTCTAGGAATTACAAACCCCATGTTGAGGGGAGGAGGGGAGGGCCCAGCCAGAGATAGTGATCAGCCCAGACCCTCCTGGTGTTCTGAGACTGTCATCTCTCCACCCCACCCTCATCTCAGGAACCTATGGAGAGGCCCAGTGTGGTCAGGACTCAGGAATGGCCCGAGGAGCTGTGGAGGTAGGGAGGAAGGTGCATGTGACCCTATCAGAATAGGTTTTGGGAAGAAGGTGTTCTCCACCTCACAGCCTGGTGGCTATATAGGGGAGGAAGGGGCTGGGGGCAAAGAAGTTTCCAAGTAGATGAGAAAGAGCAGGAGTCAAAGAAGTAGGCACAAGGGAGAGTCCCTGGCCAGCAGGGGTGTGGAAAGAGGTGAAAGAAGAAAGAAGAGACTGGAACAGGGAGAGGGCAGGTGGAGAGAGGAGAAGTCTCAGGGCTTGCCCTGTTCATCTAGTGAATCCTGATTCAGGTGGGTGAAGAAGGGAGATGGCTTCATCAATGACTCTCTGTGGGACCCTAGGTAAGATGTTTAACCTCTCTGGGCCTTAGTTTCCTCATTTATGACAAGAATGATGAACTTGCATGGTGACATGGGAGGGCAGAATGATGACAGTGAAAAGCCGGTGGCGGCATGCTTAAAGGGGCGCCGATTACTACCTTAGAAGAGTTGGACAGAATGCTCAACAGAGGGTGATTCATTTGGGTAGGTGGCTCGAATTCACCGGATTTCTCAACCCAGATTCACACTTCCTGGGGAGACTGGTCTGAAGAACTGGCGAAGGTGTTTGTAAACAATAAAAGTGCAATTCAAAGGTTGCCGCTGGGGGTGAAAACAGAGGGGGTGAGGGGAGAGGCTCGCCACTGGAAACAGAATCATCTCTTTGCTCCGGTACGGTCCAAATGGACTGGATGTGGACGTCTTTGTAGCCTAACCCCCAAAAAAACAACGCTCGGAGCACCCCTCCCTCAGCATCCCCGAGATTCGGGGTGCACATCCTAGCGTGGCTTCCAGTCGAAGGCTTTAGGGATGACGGCTAAGCAGGGCGGGGAAGAAGTGGGGGCGTGATGGGCCGAGTTGGATTAAATCGACCCCAGCAGCTCAGACGGCGGAGCAGGGGGAGAGGACCGAGCGCGGCGGCGGGGGCCCGGGGCGGCGGGGGAGCGGAGCTCAGCGGCCAGCCCTGCGCCCAGCCCGCAGCGCCGCCTCCCGGGAGGAAGGCGGGGGCCGGGCGGGGGAGCGGGAGGAGGCGGAGGGCGGAGGAGGGCGGCGCGCAGAGAGGTTATTTGTGGTTCGCTTTGATCCCGAGGGGGAACCTGAAACTCTCACATTCCTGGCATAGCAGCCGCCTCCAGCGCGGGCCGACCCTGGGGCTGCGCGCTGGAGCCCGACCGGCACAGAGCGTCGGCGCCACCGACTAGTGCGCACCTCCGCTGTGCAGCTGAGCGGAGTCGGGCTGGGACGTCTGTTCTGACCGCGGCGGGCACCAGCGGGTCTCAGCGGTAAGGAAGGCCGCTGGGTGCTTCCAGGGACTGCGTGGGGCCGGCCGATCGAGCCTGAGTCCGGGTGCAGCCCGGCCTTTTCCGGGACCCGGCGTCCTCAGGGCGCTCTTTCGAGGCAGCCGCAAAGCCCAAGTACACCTGGAGAGCGCTGCGCCGTGCGCTTTGGGCGGATGGGAGGTCTCTTGAAGATGCGTGGATCCCTGGAGGCTGGCAAAAGGGGGCAGACTCTGGGGAGCCGCGGGGTCGGTATTTTGGTTGGGGGTCCAGTGAGGGGGGGGGCGCAGAAGGGGTTGCAAGGTCCTCTTGCAAATCAAGGTCCTTGGAAATCGAGGTTGCAGGGCCTTGGCAGCCGATTTGGTTCGGTGAGGGGGTACAGGTGTCTGCCCCCAACTAGCCCAAGAATTCCTCTTTGTCTTCCTTGGAAAATCCTCTTTGGAGCCACGAACTGGCTCTCACTTAGAAAGAATGCAGTCTGCTGTCCAGCCCGGTGACGTCAGCGCTGGAGTATTTGGAAAACAAAGAGGGCTGGGGAGGGAGGAAGGGAGGCGGACCCGCGACGCTTAAAGACCTCTCCTGGCTGCGGACTGCCCTCGCCCGCTCGCCCTAGGCTCTCGGGGCGGCTACCGGTGCTTGTGGTCCGCCTAGGGTCGGGGTAGGTTGGGAGCCCTGGTCGGGTGCGATCTGATTTAGAGACTGGCTTTGGTTCCTTTGGCGAGAGTGAAGCCGCGTGCTTGCTTTCAAAGGAGGCTTGCCGAGAGCACAGCGCTCTAGCACCTCAGGGGTGCAGGGTTCGGGTAAGGGAAGCAGGTTTTAATAACGGTTGAGCTTTTAGGTATCTGAAAGGTTGTGCATCTCCGAGACAATTGGCGATAAGAGGCCTCGGAGATTTTCCTTGCGTCCAGTTCAGGCACATTGTTGGCGCGTCTGGAATCTGTGGGGAAGGTTCTGCATTCCTTCTAGCCGCTCCCCGATCCTTCTCAGCAGGAGTCAGCTCAGATAGTGATTAACTTAGGAAATGCCTCACAGGCGAAACTCCATGTGAACTGACTCCTGTTGGCTTGTTTTGCCTCTGGTAACTCTCTGTAGTCTTAAACATCCGGGGAGGAGGGTTGGGTGCCAGGAAGCATGGGTACCTAGGTGTCCTCCAGACTGGTCTCCCACTACCAGCTCTGGGCAGCTGGAATCCTGGGAGTTGGGGAGTGAATTGGGAATGGCTGTTCTGCCAAGCCCAGACAAGGCACTGGAGCTAGTTTTGTGCGGGAGGAGAGGCTACATTCCCTGGTTGCCCTTCCACAGTACCTGTGGCAGTGCAGTTTGTTTGGTTTTCTCTGAATCCCAGTTTAGAGGTTTGTGTTGGAGGAGTCTGTGGCAAGGAAGCTGGGTGAGGGAGGCAGGCAGCCTTCCAGGCTATGAGCCACTAGGAAGGAGCCCAGGCTTAGAAGGGAACACTTTCCTTGGATATGATCTCCCTAGATTTTGGGCTCAGTCTCCAGCCCCAGGTCTCTGTAACAAAGACCTTCCCCTCTCCCTCTCCAATTGGCTCAAGTAATTGTTACTGATGTCAACAAAGATATTGAGTGATCATCCCCTATGTCCCTAGAGGACCAATGGGGGCTTTTCCAAGGAGCAAATTGGGAAAAAAATCAAAGACACCATACCATTCTGTCTTAACACTGACTCCCTTGCAGTAACTGTGAGCAGGTGACCAACCTGCTGGGTAGCACCTTTTGGCTTTATCTCACCAAACCATTGTCCTATTGTTCTGTAGCCTCCCCCACCCCCATCCCTTATTCTCTGGCCTAGATACAGGTTCTCCCTCTTGTAGAACTACCAACAGACTGCCAAGGTCTTCTGTGACAAAGAGTCCAAGATTAATTTTATCAGCAGCTCTTGATGAAGTAGAGCCTAGAGTCCTTCCTAAGAGCTCTCTGATTCAGGAACAATGAGGGCAGAGGGAAGATGGCTGGGGGGAGGATAGAGTGTAGTAGATTGTGACAAACCTGGGCTTAGAGGGTCCTGGCGGCTGTTTGCCTAAGGCTTCTACTGAGCTATGTGGATTTTTTTTTTTTAAATCATGTGTCAAAAACTAGGGCCCCTGTTTACTCCTAGTAACAGCTCAGTGGTTGGATCCGTCTGGAGTTGTCCTTCAGACTGTTTGACGGGCCCCTGACTGCAGGAGCTGAGGTTCCTGCTAGATTACCCTGTGGGTTTCTGTTGTCTTCTCTAGGCTTAGTAGGTCTTCATGAATATCATTACAATGATGACCTTGCCAAGGATTTACAGTGTTCTGGAAACTCAGTAGTCAGTGCCTCTATTCATTCTCAACTCCCTGAGCAAGCAGTATTTGCTTTTTCAAATAATTTTTAGTTGTTGTTGGACCCAATACCTTTATTTTATTTATTTAAATGTGATGCTGAGGATCGAACCTTGCACATGCTGGGGAGCACTTTACCGCTGAGCCACATCCCCAGCCCCTCCCCCCCTTTTAAAGGAAGAAACTGAGGCTCAGGGGTTAAGTGACTTGCTTTAATCCATAGGTGGCAGCGTTAGCACTTGGACCCAGGCTTGCATGCAACCTTCCCATCCCAGCCTTATTCTTTACCATTGTGCTTTCAACCTGCTATAATGAAAAGCCCTCCCCTTTCTCACATGCTCCCACTGAATGCTCTTCTGTCTCTCTTGCCAGGTGCTCTGGGGCCAGGTGCCTGCTGGCCATTGTCTAGGCAGGTGTGTGCAAGCCAAAGAAACATGAGGACGCTGGAAGATTCCTCAGGGACAGTCCTGCACCGCCTCATCCAGGAGCAGCTGCGCTACGGCAACCTGGCGGAGACACGCACACTGCTGGCCATCCAACAGCAGGCCCTGCGGGGTGGGGCCGCAGCTGGGGGCTCCCTGGAGCTCTTGGCACCTGAGGACAATCAGGGGCTCCAACAGGCCACTAGGCAAGAGCCCCAGGGCCAGGAGCACCAAGGTGGTGAGACCCACCTGGCAGAGAACACCTTCTACCGGCTGTGCTCACAGCCCAGCAAGGGCGAAGAGCTGCCCACCTATGAGGAGGCCAAAGCCCACTCTCAGTACTATGCTGCCCAGCAGGCGGGGTCTCGCCCGCAGGTCGGGGACCGGGATCCTCGCGGGGCCCCAGGAGGCACCCGGCGGCAGGATGAAGCTCTGCGGGAGCTGCGGCATGGGCACGTGCGCTCCCTGAGTGAAAGGCTCCTGCAGCTGTCCCTGGAGAGAAACGGAGCCCGGGCCCCCAGCCACATGAGCTCCTCCCACAGCTTCCCACAGCTGGCGCGCAGCCAACAGGGTCCCCCACCCAGGGGCTCCCCTGCTGAGGGCCCAGAGCCGCGTGGGCCCCCACCTCAGTACCCACATGTTGTGCTGGCCCACGAGACCACTGCTGTCACTGACCCGAGGTATCGCGCCCGCAACAGCCCACACTTTCAGCATGCGGAAGTCAGGTAACAACCCCCATCATGCTCTTTCAAATCTGGGCGTTCTTCCAGGGTACTCTCCAAGGCTGGAGAGTCTCAAGATCACACCTTGGGTCTGAGCTTCCCCACCCACCCCAGCTCCTGATCTAATCCCTCCTTCTTGAGAAGGGAGAGCCAGTGGCTGAAGGAAAAGGGAACTTAGCCAAGGTCACATAAGAAGTTCAGAGGAGCATTGCCTAGACTCAGAGGTAGACACCTGCTTAGCTGTAACCTTCAAGTAAGTAGGGTTCCCAGAGGATTTGAATTGTAGCAGAAGTTAAAGGTGAGATTTCAGAATTTCCCAGAGACAGAGAATGGCAATCATTGCTGAACTCTCCCCAAGTTAAACAGAAAGGTGAGACCTCCCCTGAAGTTGTTTTATATACATATTTTTGGTAGTGCTGGGGAATAGAACCCAGGGCCTTGTGCATGCAAGGCAAGCGCTGTTACCAACTGAACTATATCCCCAGCCCCTAGAAGGTGTTTTAAAAACATGCTTGCTATGATTATTGGGAGGGGCTCCTAATGAGATTGTAAGAACCAGGTGGCCACCTTGACAGCTGTCTTGTCTCTGCTTTTTCATTTCTTTTTTTTTTTTTTTTTTTGTTCCCTGTGCAAGCAGCCCCCAATGGGAGAGGATGCTGGGTCCAGGCGAGCTCCTTTGTGTGGTGGTGGCTCAGGAGAGGAGCCAGGTCAGGGTAGCAACTTAAGAGTTTGATCTGAGTGTGAAGAGAAACCATTAGAGGATGTGATTTATCTTAAAAAGGCACATACATGGGTAATAAATGGCTGTGCGGAGAGTGGAGGCAGGAAGCCAGATGATTGCAGAAATACAGGTTTTAGATAGAAGGCTCTGCCTTGGTCATCTCACCTGGTCCAGAGATGCCCCATGGATTAGTAACTTTCTTCCTCCCGGTGGCTGAAGGTCAAAGTCTGGTTCTCTTCATTCTTGCTGAGTCTTCATTTAGTCACCCCCTTTCCCACCATTTGGCCTTTCCTTGCTCTCGAGAAATGAGTGACGTGATGTTGCTGGTATGGAGGAACCAGAGGATGGAGTCTCTTGGTTTCTCTCCAGCCTCCACCCTATCCAGACTCCCACCTTATCTCCCTTCTCAGGACCGATCAGGAAGAGTATCGGAAGCTGAGTCGAGGTTTCTTCTTTTGGACCAGCCCTATTGAACCCCTGTCAGGAAAAGATAATATCTCGGGCAAGGAAATTGACTATTTGCAGGAGAACAAAAAGACATGGGGTGGGGAGGGGGGACAAGGGGCAGGGAATGCAAGTGTGAAGGCTATTCTTTCTTGGAGCTAAGTCATCTCCAAAGAATGTGTCTACCCTGCCTGGTGCAGAGGGCAGCAAGCTCTGAAGCCACCTTGAGAACTAGCCACATGTAGCAGAGAGAGTTTGGACTTCACAGTGGAGACCTTTTGGCCAGTTCTCACTGGAAGCCCTACTTTAAGTAGTAAGAGAAACATGCCCACTGCCCTCTCTTTTGTAGCTGATCAGATGAAGACTATTTGTTGGGAGCTGGGTCAGGAATTTTAGCCGCGGGAGGAGTCACAGGCTGGAGGGCTGGGCATGAGGGCTGAGGAGATGGACCTGGAGTAGATTTCAGGGCTTCTGGAATTTGGAAAAGTCTTTGTGAAACTGAAGTAGTTGTGACAGTGGGAACCCTAAAGCTCTAGAAAGACCCTCTGGCTTTTTGTTCCTCCCCTCAACATGCAGCCCTGAGGTTGATGTTATACCAGTGCCAGAGGCCAGTAGAGCATTGTCCCTGAACTCACCCACCATACTAGTCCAGAGATGGCCCCTCAAGGGTCAAATGGCAGGAGCTGTGATTTGAACATCTATTCATCAGACTCTTATCCTGCAATCTGTCTTGTCTAACCATTAACTGGAGTCTTCTAAAAATGTTTTCAGTGTTTGCGGGGGTGGTATTACAGGCCCTGAAATAGAAAACTTGAATGTGCTGCTTTGGCAGTCCTGAAAGGGGCAGCTTATAACAAACACAGAGTAGCTGCTAGGACCCACCACCAAGTGGCCCCAGGATCTGAAAGGCTACGTACTCAGTCATGATCACGGTGGCCTCCAGACCTCAAAAGAACCTTGTATAGATTAGGAGGATCTAGGCTGCATTTTTTAATGGTGCCTCACTTAAGCACTGGTTGCTTAGGAGGCCCGGGATTGCTTAGGCTGATCCCCAAAGCCCTGACCTCAGTGAGGAAAGACACAAAGCACCATCCTGCATTAATCCCTCCAGCCCTCTTCTTTGGCTCTTGAGAGTTCAGGCAGACATCATTTGGAAAAAGCCTTCCCCACTGGTTTCTGCTAACACTGAGAGGCTGTGTAACAATCAGCAGTCATATTGGTCACTTATTAATATAGGTATAGTCTCTGAGCATCGTCTCTTCTGTTTCTCCAGGATCCTGCAGGCCCAGGTACCTCCCGTGTTCCTCCAGCAGCAGCAACAGCAGTACCAGTACCTGCAGCAGCCCCAGGAGCACTCCCCGCCCCCACCCCCTCATCCAGCCGCCCTTGGTCATGGACCCTTGGGCTCTGCCAATCCACCTGGGGTGGGAGGACCAGCGAGTGCCCAAGCCTCGTCACCCACCTCGGGCAGTGCCCACCTTGCCCAGATGGAGGCCGTGCTGAGGGAGAATGCCAGGTTACAGAGGGATAATGAGAGGCTGCAGAGGGAGCTGGAGAGCTCAGCAGAGAAGGCAGGCCGCATTGAGAAGGTAGGCCCTGCCAGGGACCCTGGGGGTCTGGCTGGGGAGTGGGCAGTGCAAAGGGAGATGGGATCCTGAAAGCCTGGGTCTGGTTGGATTTCTCTCCATCCTTCCATTCCCCCACCCCCTTTCACTCCTCATGCACCCCCCCAAGCTGACTCCAGACAGCTGGGCAACAGCCGAGAGGCCTACAGGCCTGGAGCATGAGCAGTTGCTGGCCAGTGGCAGTTAGAAAGAGCTCATTCACCAGCCCCCTGCACCCTTGCCCTGCACACACCCCTCCCGCAGACACCTCCCACAGAGAGCCCTTTGTGTCCCCCACACAACAGCCAGTCTGTTCTAGGCCAAAGAGAAAACCCCTCCTCTTGGGGAAAAAAAGCCACTTGTTGGCATGGCAAGCCAGCTAGGAACACGTGCGGGACCTGTGGCAGCCAAGTGGGAGGGGCAGCCGGGCCCAGGCTAGCCCTTGGCTTGGATGGGGCCGCTTCAGGGGCAGATATTCCAGACAGAGGCAGCTCAGGCTCTGGTCTTTAGTGGAAGTTTACCACTGTGCACCAAAGTTCAGTTTTAACAGATAGCCTCAGACTCCCATGACTGCCCTTTGTTGTCCTGTTGATCCACCCAGAACATGCCCGCTCCTGACCCTTTGCTCAGAAAAATGCTTCTCACTGAATGATGGGCACAGAAAAGCTGGGTTCATTTAGCCTCTGGTCCTTGGGGCAGCAGATGGGAACCTACTGCGGTCCCAGTAGTCTGGTCCACCTCGGGAGGCTGCAGGCTTCTGACCATCCCACCGGAGCCATCTGGAGCTCCTGTTCTTTGCCCTCTCATCTCTCCCCTTTTCTAATGGAAAGTGCTGCCAATCTCCAGCCTGGGATGGCTCCTGGGATCCCTCCCCTTCCTTCAGCTTGCTGTCTGTCCCTTGCAGCTGGAGAGTGAGATCCAGCAGCTCTCAGAGGCTCATGAGAGTCTGACAAGGGCCTCTTCCAAGCGTGAGGCCCTGGAGAAGACCATGAGGAACAAGATGGATAGTGAAATGAGGCGGCTACAGGATTTCAACCGCGATCTTAGAGGTGAGGGCTGGGGAGAGTCTTTGGGCCCTCTGCGCCAGGGGAGTCTTCATAATCTGTATTCTCTGCAAACATAAGTGTCAGGGTGAGACTCTTGGGGGGCCACCCTTATGGAGAGATTCTTGTCTCTGTGTTCTGGGTTTTGGAATTCCTTATGGAGTTCTCACCATATGGCCCAGATCATGACCTCTGAGAGGGTGCTCCCTTCTTATTGGGACCTGAGCTGAGCTGGAACTGTGAACTGTGAGCCACAGCAGGTCCTTATGAGCCCATTCCCAGCCCAGAGGATGCAGCCTCACAGAGAAAAGAACCCCAGAGAGAACCCAAAGCAAGCAGCATCACCTAATACCGAAACATCTTTCCTTCGCTTAAAACAGAGAGATTGGAGTCTGCAAACCGCCGCCTGGCGAGCAAGACACAGGAGGCCCAAGCTGGCAGTCAGGACATGGTGGCCAAGCTGCTTGCTCAGAGTAAGTAGTGGTCTCCCTAAGAAGCCTAACCAATATGCAGGCAATAGCACCATTGATCTCTTGGATGGAGAGAGAGGGTTGGTCCTTTCCCTTGCAAAGCAATACTTTGGGCACAAGTTTATTACATGGCTACTTTTTGCCCAACGCTAAACGAATGGGAGAGAGGGTGGCTTCCATAGAAGAATAAGATCTGGATCTCTGTTTATTGGGAAGGACAAGAGGGAAGTTGCGGTTTGCTGAGCTATGGTACTGACCATCATTGCAGTGTTGGTGAGCATTTGCGGGTGCATTGGGCAGTAGGGGATACAGGATTGCTCTGGTCACAGTAGGATGAAGGAAAATGAACAGTCTGAGGTTTTCAGGGAGTCCCAGGCAGCAGAAAGTTTGGGAGTGCTTGATGGGAATGAGAAGCTGGGGAGGATGGTGGAGAGCATCCATAGCAAGGGAGCCAACAGTCTAAAGGGGTTCTGGAGGCTTCTCTGTAAAGGAGGAAGGCCGTGCATCCTTGAATGATGAGTTCATTGACTACCCCATCCATCCCTTCATTCATTCATTTGTTCATTAGCAGAAGTGGGCTAAGCACCTGGCAGGTGTTTAGCAGAGGGTGTGAGCAGGCCCAGGAATTGGCATGGGAGGTCCGGAGAGAAGCCATGAGCTTAACAGAGGAACAGATTCCCATACATTCAGAAGTGTTTATGATTCAGGAGACTGATCAGGAGATCCCTGGATCAAGAGGCCTAACTGGGGGGGCTTCTGGGGATCTCAGGGGTGGAATAGAGAGCCAGAGGTGAAGAAGCCATTAGATGGCTCCCCTGGAGGTGCATGGAGAAGCCACTGAAGGCATCAAGGGTTTGGGGAGCTTGAGGCAGGCCAGGCTACACCTGCCCTTATAGGCAGGCAAAGTGAGGTGGCGGTGGCTACCTCTCTCTAGAGAGGAGTGGAGGGAGAAAAGGAAGGGGGGGGTTGCCCTTGGGAGAGTGTCCGTGACAGGGCCAGGCAGATGAGGAGTGCCCTGTAGGGAAGGGAGGGCTGACTTTTGGGGCCTGGCTCAGCCAAAGAAAGGCCAGTTTCTGGAAGCCTGTAAAGGAGGAGGGTGGGGGGAGGCAGGCAGGAGGCGTTTCCGCTCCCCGGGGAGCTAGGGAGCCAGGCTGTTCTTGGCTTCTCACTGGAGCCATTAATCTCACAGCAGCCGGTGACCTGGATGCCTGGCATTCCAGAGCCACTGGGCTGTTCCGCTCTTGGCTGCCCCCACCCCCTGCATGGCCCTTGGAGGCAGGGCCGATCACAAAGGGAGAAAAAGGAGACTGGAAAGTGGGGCTGGGGGTACCTAGCAGGCACTTCTACATCTCCTGGCCTCCAAGGTCCAGCCTTCCACCTCCATCAGGAACCTTAAAGATTGTGATGGGCTGAAGGACACAGGCAGCTTTTCTTGGCCCACAATAGGCATTTCCTAGGGCCGCAGGGCCAGCGGAGTTCTCAGGGAAGATGGCTCTGGTTGACCTTTTTGGCAGTCAGACAGCACTAGTACAAAAATGTGGCCATTGCCATTTCCAATGGCTTTTACCCACAAGCAAGCCATAGAATTGGCAGCTCTGTCCCTCTGACCCCTCTGATCAGGCCCTGCCCTCCTGCCAGCTCTGCCTCTTGGGCATCTGCCTCTCACTCTTACAGGTTTTCAGACTGTAAGGTGGGATGGACTTCTACCTCCTAGTCAAACTAAGGCAGGTCTTGTGTAAAGAACCCTAAGTAACAGGGCTCTGTGGACCCAAACAGAAAGAGGTACTGTCCCAGTCCGCCGTGCCTGACCCCACTCACCCCACTCACTGGGTGTTAAGAGTATGGATAGTTCAATTTCAGTTTTTTTCTTTCTAAGCCAAAGAATGAGACCAGTCAGCCTGGGCCCAGTCTTCAAAATTCTATAGTGAACCAGGAGCTGACCTGGGTTGACTCTGTCACCTTCCTGTCCTCCTACGGGCCCTGAGTCAATGGATCTTCCCTTCTGCTTGACAGGGGTAGTGAGGATCTGATATGACAAGTCCTTAGTCACACAGGTCTAAAATTTAAAATGGGTTAAAATCAAACCTTCAGTTCTTCCATCTTACTAGCTCCATTTCAAGCGCTCGATAGCCACATGTGGCCTAGTGGTCATTGCTTTGGACAGCACAATATAGAATAATTCCATGATAGCAGAAAATTTCATTATTCCAGAGATAGTAGTGCCTTTGGGTTCATTAGGCAGGCCCCATGGTCCCATCCACCTCCTGCTCTTCAGTAAAGTAAGAAGAGCCCATTTCTTGGGGACCAGCCTGAGACTCCCAAGCAGCAGGTGCACAGAAGTGGATTTAAGCCCAGAACAATGGCTAGAGGACTCTGATCTGGCCCAGGCTTCAGTCAGCATTAAAAGTCAGGATAGCTGGAACCACAGACACCAATCTTTCAACCAGAGACATTTGCAATGTGCTGCAAGAGTTTGTGTTCCTTGGCCAAAATCTAGGTCCCCAAAACATGGAAGGAAATGTGGTACTAAACAGGAGAGACCTGGATCTGCAGAAGGACATGTAGGGGCCCATTGTAGGGGCAAATGCCTCACATCACAGCCTGGGCTTTTGGAGTCAGACCAGCCTGGATTCCCATCTGGCAGCCCCAGTCCCCCTCCTCTGTTTCTCCCCCTCTAGGTTGGGGGAAAAAACGTGTCCTGCTCAGAGAATTTAGTGAAATGAGATGCCTGTGTGCTGGCTCATGGGGTGGCAGATAGTGGTTTTCTTGTCTTTTTTTTCATTTTCCTTCTTGAACCATGACAATGTCACCGTCCCCCAGAGCCTTCATTTTCTCACCTATAAAAGGACATCATAGGCATCCCAGTTCCTACCAGCAGTCCGCAAGTTATCGTGAGGCTCAAGGGAAATTGTGAATTATGGCACCTGGCACAGGTGCAGTGTTTAGGGCTGTCCCAGTAGAAAGGTGACTCCTGCAGGGGTCCTGGAGCCAGACTCTGTCATTTACTCCTGACTTCATCTGAGCCTCAGTTTCCTCCTGTGAAATGGGTTCATCACAGAACCTACCTCCTTGGGACTGTCAAGAGAGTGGGGCCAGCCAGGGTGGTTGCCATCACTGACCAAGCCCCCTCTTTCTCCCCGCAGGCTACGAGCAGCAACAGGAGCAAGAGAAGCTGGAGAGGGAGATGGCGCTGCTGCGCGGTGCCATCGAGGACCAGCGGCGGCGTGCGGAGCTGCTGGAACAGGCTCTGGGCAATGCTCAGGGTCGTGCAGCGCGTGCTGAGGAGGAGCTGCGCAAGAAGCAGGCCTATGTGGAGAAGGTGGAGCGGCTGCAGCAGGCGCTTGGGCAGCTGCAAGCGGCCTGCGAGAAGCGGGAGCAACTGGAACTACGTCTACGGACGCGCCTAGAGCAGGAACTCAAGGCCCTGCGCGCACAGCAGGTGAGCCGCGAAGCCATGCAGCAGGCAGAGTTAAGGCAGCATCTGAGGAAGCCTCAGCCTCCTGGGAACGCACCTGTGTCTGATCCTTGTACCCTCTTTACCCAGTGGCCACTCACTCAAGTAGCAGAGGCTCTGCTACGTGGCCTGAGTCCAAGCATGGGCGACTCTTCTTTTCTTAGTACTGGGGATTGAACTTGGGTAGTTCACCTTTGAGCCCCATCCCCAGCCCTGTTTTGTATTTTATTTAGAGACAGGGTCTCACTGAGTTGCTTAGGACCTTGCTAAGAGTTTGGCTTGGAAATCCTGATCCTCCTGCCTCAGCCTCCCAACCTGTTGGGATTACTGTCCTGTGCCACCATGCCTGGCTAGGGGGAATTTTTTATGTTTTATTTTGAGACAGGGTCTAAGCTGCTTAGGGTCTCACTAAGTGGCCTCTCTCTGGGCACAGCAGCATGGAGAGTCTGTGTTGCACGTGGCATCTGTGTGAGGATGAGGAGCTACTGTACCACAACTCCCATCCTTGACCGCAGTGCATCTTTCTCTGCAGAGACAGACGGGCACCCACAGTAGTGGTGGCAGCAGTGGTGGTTCCCCAGAGCTCAGTGCCCTGCGACTCTCAGAACAGCTGCGAGAGAAGGAGGAACAGATCCTGGCGCTGGAGGCCGACATGACCAAGTGGGAGCAGAAGTATTTGGAGGAACGTGCCATGAGGCAGTTTGCCATGGATGCTGCCGCCACCGCAGCTGCCCAGCGGGACACTACTCTCATCCGACACTCCCCCCAGCCCTCGCCCAGCAGTAGCTTCAATGAGGGCCTGCTTGCAGGTGGCCACAGACATCAGGAGATGGAAAGCAGGTTCGGCAATGGCAGGCCAGGCTCGGGCCCTGTGGTGTGGGTGGGGTGGCTGAATCTGCCCTGTCCTTGATCCCTGGTAAATAAGCCTCTGTCCCCACTCAGCTCAGTGGGCCCTCCTGTTTCTAAGCTGACTCCATATTAGACCAAGTTCTTGGCCTTGGAGATGGTAGCTACCATCCAGGCTCTAAGCTTCTCCACCTTCTCTGGGGCTTTGCCCTTCAGGACAAGAGAGGGTCATATCATTGCTGCCTTCAGTGAGTCCAGACCCACCCACCCCCACCCCCATGACATGCTTTTGTCATGTGAAAAGCACTCAGAGCCTCACAAGCCTGGGCTTAGAGCGTCAAAATGCAGAGCTGTGCTGGCATCTGCAGCCTCACACCAGGTCCCTGATGCAAAAGAGAGGGTCCCCCGTGGCTGTAGGGAGGGAGGCGCTGGGGCTGTGGATCTGATGAGGGTGCTTGGCCTTTCCCCGCTCAGGTTAAAGGTGCTCCATGCCCAGATCCTGGAGAAAGATGCAGTGATAAAGGTCCTTCAGCAGCGGTCCAGGAAAGACCCTGGCAAGGCCCCCCAGGGCTCCCTGCGGCCCGCCAAGTCAGTGCCATCTATCTTTGTGGCTGCAGCAGCAGGGACCCAGGGCTGGCAAGGACTTTCATCGAGTGAGCGGCAAGCAGATGCCCCCACCCAGCTGACTATAGGTAAGAGGAGGCTCTTGGGGGTGGGGGGTAGATGAAGGTTTCTCAGGTCCCAACACAAATTACCAGACCTTTCCTCCCTGCACCAAGGATGAAAGGAGTCAGCATAATAGAGTTTTCTGTGCAGATATATCTTCTATACAAACCCTTTCCACTCTTCCTAATCAGATACCACAGAAATTCTAGATTTATTCTACAAAGGAAGGTTCTACCCTTCAAAACCATCTGTAGCCAACTCAGCCTGATGGTTACTCCCATTCACATTTATTTAGTCTTATCAGAGTTATTGCAAATCATGAGCAATCCGTACAGCCTCCAGTGTGTCGTAGGTCCTGTTCACTTGGGGTGTTTTTCATAGAGGCTACCTCTTATAAGCCAGGTAGTAACCATCCATCTCCTTCCTTTCCCCTAGACAGGGCACCGTCGGAGGAGACAGCAGCTGCAGCTCCTCTCCCTGCCCATACCAAACATGGGAGCAGAGATGGGAGCACCCAGACGGATGGCCTGCCAGACAGCACCTCTACCTGCCTGGCAGCAGAGCCCGATGGCCTGCTAGGGTTCAGCAGTGGCCAAAAGGCAACCTCTCTGGGTGAGCTGCGCGTTTCTCCTTGGCTTTTGTGCTGGGTGGGGCTGAGGGTGCACTGGGTATGAAGTAGAACACCAAGGCCGTCTCTCCAGACCCTTCCTGGTCATTACCTGTCCTCCATGGGGAGCCCTTCATAGTGAGAGGTGAGGAGGCATCTGGCCCACCTCAGTGTGAACACCAGGACTGTTGGCTATGTGAGTAGAGGGATCGGGAGCCCTGATCCGAGACAGATCCAAAATCAGAAAGAAAGCTGCAGAACAGAAAGCACTTTATCTCCTCCTTCATGGTTTTCCTGACATATTTCATTGCCAGTCTAAATAGCTAAGATAATGAAGCCTGGCAAGTTATCCTGAAGGCACTCTCAAGTTAGGAGACTGTTTAAAAAGAGTCCAGGAAGGAGAAACTTGAGAACATGCCTTTTTTGTTTTGTTTTGTTTTTGGCTCCCCTTCTACATTAGCCTTTGCATATTTGCCTGTGCCTCATGATCTCAAAAAAACCACAGGCATGGAAAGAATGCAGCAGCCTCCCTCCCGCAGGGCCCTCCATGACTCCCTCCAAGCCCTTCAACCAGTTCAAAGTTAGAAACAAAGGCAACTTCCCCATTGGAGGCTGGGGGTCTGGGCCAAGAGCTGAGAAACAGCAGAGTGTTGTTCTAGGTTGGCCTGGTTATGGGCTGAAGGGCTGGAGGATCACAAGTTCAAAGCCAGCCTCAGCAACTTTGCAAGACCCTGACTCAAAAATTAAAAATAGAAAAGGGCTGGGGATGTGGTATTTGCCTAGCATCCATATGGCTCTGGTTAGATCCCCAGTGTTGCAAAAGGAGAAAAAAAAAAAAGTACCAGGAATTTAAAAGAGCAATCTGGTAACATGTGCCTATGTTCTTGTCTCTCCCCAGACTCCATAGCAACATCCCGAGTCCAGGATTTGTCGGACATGGTGGAGATACTGATCTGAAGGAGGTGGGGCCTTGAGGACCCTCAACCTCGCCCTCTCCTCCCCTGCCCTTGGCCATTCCAGCAGCTCCTTCTTCAACTGCTGCTTCCCCGCTTTCCCCATCCAATGACCATCTGGTCCTGAGAGCTCAGGAAGGAGTGCTGTCTGCTTCTTAGTCCATACTCCTTCCCTGCCCATGAAGAATAAGGATCCACCCTCTGCCTGCTGCCCAGGGCTAGCAGTTGGGGTAGCAACTAAGAGCCCAGAAAGGAACTGAGCCCACTCTGACCTGCCACCTGCCACTTGGCACTCAGGCAGGGAAGGAGAGGGGATGTGTTGGTTTTGGGGGCTGATTGCCCAGGGTAGCCGCCCATGGGCATCAGTGGGGCTGGTTCATGAATCAAGCCAGCCATGTTCTTTGGCTAAGTGTGGTCCCAGCCAACCTCGTCGGCTCTCCAGTTCTTCACTGTCATCTTGGGATCGCTGCACCTTGAGTCTTTGGGGGACTGTTGAGGATGTGAGTCCTGTGGAAGCCACAGTCTCATCCCTCCTCAGTTAAGAGTGGGTTGGGGCCATCTGAGTGGCCTGGGAGACAGTTTCCAGTTTGTAAATAATTCCCTTTCTTGTGGAACAGAAAATCGAGGCATGCTGGTTCTGATTTGTCTTCAGGGGTGGTGTCTGCTGCCACAGTTCCTGAAAACTTCTGACTGGCTTCCCGATTGTTATTCCTTCTCAAGTTCTTGGTCCATGGATTTTGATGCTGGTTGTTTCATGGGACATTGGCTGCCTGTCCTTCCATCTGGAGCCCTGTATCAAATGCCCATGGGATCCCCACCATCAACCTGTTGAAATGGCTCCACAACTCCCGTCCCTGGGACATCCTGTCAGTTTGATTATAAATTGAGCCAGAGGAAATGAGCCACCACACATAGACAACTGCCATGCCACTTGTAGATGAAGGTGGCCCCACCCAGCACCAGTTCTCTGAGGAAGCTGGAGTTATCTTGTTCTCATACTGTTGTCTGTTCTCACCTGGAGGGATTGGGAGAGGATGCTGTGCTGTTGAAGACTAGTCAGTGAGCTACAAGATGTGACTTGACATGGAGCCTCCATCACAAAATGGCGCCCACGAGGCTGGCTCCTCACGTGACCCATGCGCAGCCCCCAGGCAGGGCCAGATACTTTGAAACTAGAGTGAAACGTCCCGCATGGCAGCCTGCAGCAGCAGAGATTTTTGACTTTGGTCTTAAAAGTCCTCCAATTCAGTTCAGTAGTGATTGGTGGGTTTTAGCAGTTGTCTTTATTGTTTTCAGTTCTTGAATATTTGTCTTTTTTTTTTTTTCCTTTCTTGTTTTTTAGTTCTGTATGTGTTTGTTTCATTTCCATGTTCCCCAAGTTATCTTTTTAAACATTTGCATTTGCTGGACAATTGCATATTTTTTTAATTCCCTAACCCCTGAAAAATACATTTGGTTCATGTGCATTGTTTACAAAGCAAAAAAAGAAAAAGAGGAAAAAAAAAACAACAACAAAAATATCATGAAAGGAAAAAAAAAACAACTTAATATATTTTGGATTAATATTTGGTATTTCTTTTAAAGTATTTTTTGTGCTGTGAACATTTTCTGCCAAAGACCGTGATGTGTGTCTGTATGTTTAAGTTATCATAAATATTTAAATGTAAACATAGCTGTTTTGTTATGCCACCCTGTACCAGGATTGCTGCTGCATTCCACTGGGTGTAACAGTATTTTAATAAAAAAATTTATGAAGAGTGATGTGTTTGAACTGAGGGAAGGAAATGGGGTAAGGATTTTATAGGGCCACCCATGTCAGGGTCCTATCTCTTCAAGAACCCAAGAGAAGTCCTAGGAATTCTGTGAAGTTGCTTTAAGAAGAGTTGGAATGAGGATGTGGTTGACTTTTCCAGAGGAAGTTCTTAGAGTGTTGGGAGGGGCTGAGCACAATGGCTCAGGCCTGTAATCCCAGCAGCTCTGGAGGCTGAGGCCAGAGAATCAAAGTCGATCAAAGCCATCCTCAGCAATTTAGCGAGGCCTTAAGCAACTCACTGAGACCTTGTATTTAAATAAAATTTAAAAAAGGACTGAGGATGGGGTTCAGTGATCGTGTTTGTATGGAGTCCAGTCCTCCATACAAAAAAAAAAAAATATGTTGGAAGGGAAAGGAGACTGTGTCAGATAGTAGCTTCCCTGGGTAGCTTTGACCATACTATATAGTAGGAGTAGTACTCCACTGTGTCCAAAATTACCATTCTTAACCCCACTCCTACCTTCCTTCCCATCCAAGTAACCAGGCACCATGCCTATTGTCTGCCTGGACACATGCAGAGGATGTTCATGTGTGTGGCATGTTCTTGGGCACCTCTTTCTTACGTTATAGCATCACTCACTTCCAATGCCCGGGAAAGTGTATTGCTTTGATTCAAAAAAAGAAAACCATTCTCAATCTTTGGATTTCTTCCCAATGGTAGCAGACAGAAAGCTGACCATCAGGCAGCCAGACAGGCTCTGGGGCATGTATCAGCACCAGTTACCCCATGGCCATGGGTGAGGTATCCTCAGACAGGTATGGGGACTTTGTAGCCATGTTGATGAGTAACCAAGCTGCGATCCTAGAGAAGGTGTCCCTATGCCAACCTTCCTGCCCACTGGAATGGAGTTAAGCAGGTGGAAGAATTCAGAACCTCCCAAATTTTTCTAGGAACTTTGCAGATGACAATGGACCCTACCAAATGAGGTGATCACCCAGCCCTCCAGCCTGCTTCCTGCCATCTGGGCAACATGGAGGGCTGCATTGCTCTCTTCAAGCCCTGGACTGGGGTTTTGGCTGTGCAAATAGGTTTCTCACCTGAAAGGCAGGCTGTCCCTGAAGGCAGCCTGAATGATTGGCTCCTGCACTGGTCCTCTGCTAACATTCTGTGTTCAAAACAAAATGGCAGGTCCTATGGCAGGGGGTTCCCACTCAACTCTACCTGCCACATGCACCCCCCAAAAGCTCTGGACGGTGGGGGTTGCAGCTCAGACCCAGAGCAGTAAGCCCAGAGCACTGCCTCAACCCAGTACCTTTGGCCAGTGGCTTTTGAAGAGTTTGTGCCTTTTGCGGAATCTAGTCTGCTAGGAGCCACCTTCCTAGTTCCTTGGGTTATGATGAAATCCATTCCAAGGTACCCATACATGTGTAGGCATGTATGCTATGTGTGCATGCATTTGTCTGGCCACGTATCCCAGAAGAAGGTGCAAGGAGCACCATTCTTTTTGGCTAGTGCCCTTACAAGGCACTGGAGCTCTTCATTCAGTTTGGATTGATCAGCATGGAGAGGGGGCTGCTTGATGCACTTTGAAATGTAGCCCAGTCAAATGCCAGAAGTGACAGAACAATGGAGCAGCAGGCTGTGGTGGATTTGAACAGACCCTGGGGAAAAAGGTGTTTGCCCCAGGTGTCTGGATATCTGTGGAGGGGTGGGGCCTTGGCCAGAGCCTGGGTGGCTCTACTGGGCCCCTTGGAGGCCAAGCTCCTCTTTGAAGAGGCTCTGTCCCTACCCAGTGCCAGGACCAACAGAGCTTGGGGGTGGGGGTGACTCAGGGGGGCAGCACACTGCCCCAGAACAGGAGAACAGCCCAGGAGTCATGAGAGGCTGCCCCAGCCTCTTGTCTCTCACCTCCTAGTTAATTGTTAACTCTTCCTCTGGCTCAAGAATGTGCCAGGCTCAGCGAGGTTGATAAAAATGTGCCAAGATGGGGGCAGCCAATCGAGACCCAATCACCCCTGGATAACTAAAGCCACTTCACTGTCCCCAAGGACCCCACTGGATAGGAAACTTGTATGCAGTGTCACTGTCTTGTCTCCTAGCCCAAGTGGGGAGTTTGCTGGAATGCAGTCTCCCCCAACAGCTCTTGCAGTGTGTAACAGAGCCCTCAGGAGGTAGACCAGAAACCCCAGCGACAAGCAGCGTGTTCATGGACACTCCATGCTTGAATCCAGTATGTGTGCTGAGTGCCACAGCAACTGAGCTCTCAGCGTCCTTTTTAAAAACAAGATAGAAATCACATACCATGAAATTCTCCCTTTTGATGTGTGCAAGTCTGGTATAGTATGTCACGGCAACCACTTTGAGCTAGTGGTCAACCATGGGTCAACATCAAATGCCCACCAGTGCGCCATATGGACACCATTAGCAGTGTTATTTGATCTGGTATGTTCACACTTGTCGGGCTGCTATTTCCCACACTTTGAACTTTCTGTAGCTGACCACTGCCTCCTTCCACCCCACTGGGCCCGGCAGCTTGGCTGCATCTCCACAGGGCTGTAGTGGGGAAACTGTGTGCTCTGAGTTGGAATCCACTACCCTCTGTCCCCTGTGCCAGGGCATGGGTTCTAGTTGAGGCTTGGGAAGGACGCCTAGGAACCCTGAGCCCCAAAGCACCCAATGTCTGCTGACTGTTTTCCAGAGTCAAAGAGGATCACCAGGGGTGGATCCAGGTCTGTGAGGCCTGAAGCTTATACCTGGGGGTAGATGAGAGGTCTTTGAGAAAAAGAGTACAAGCCAGTTATGGTGGCACGCGCCTGTAATCTCAGCAACTGGGGAGGCTGAAGTAAGAGGATCACAAATTCAAGACCAGTCTCAGCAACTTCCTGAGGCCCTATAAGCAGCTTAGCAAGACCTTGTATCAAAATTTAAAATAAATAAATAAATAAAAATGGCTGGGGATGTTGCTCAGTGGTTAAGCACCCCTGGGTTCAATCCCTGGTACCAAAAAAAAGAATAAGTATGCAAAATGGTGAATATGAAATTAGATCAAAGTCAGGCACAGTAGCATGTGCCTATAATCTCAGCAACTGGGAGGCTGAGGCAGAAGGATCCTGCATTAGAGGCTACCCTCAGCAACCTAAGCAAGATCCTCAGCAACTTAAGGAGACCCAGTCTCAAGATAAAAAAAAAAAAAAATAACAAGGACAGAGGGTGTAGCTCAGTAATAGAGCTCCCCTGGCTTTAACCCCCAATACTGGGGGGGAAAATGGGTCTAGAGTCAGTTCAACAGAACACTCTAAGATCTAGCTTCATTAGCTTGGCAGTTTCATTAGCTTCACATTAACTTCATCTGCATCTGGGCACAGGGGATCCTGTCTCCCCAAGGGAATGAAGATCGGGAGGTGTCCACAGTGGTTGGCTTCTTCCTTATCTCTCCCCAGGAAGCCCTGGTGCTGAAACTCCATGAAACTACAGTTTTTTCTCCTTGGGGCAAAAATACCTACAAAGGGGGCCCAAGGGCCTGATGGGGAGTATGTCACCCTGGAGCCTGGACAGCAGGGCTAACCAGCTCACCAAGACGCAGGCCTAAGACTGGCCCACATCAGCACTGAGCCCTCACCCACCAAGCAAACCTCCAGCCCTGGGGTGGGCACACAGGACAGCCAGTTTCCACTCAATTGTAGTTCAAGTATGTTTTGCTCTACTCTGAGGGCCTGTCAGCCTTTGATTCTGATCCAGCCAAATGACAAGATCTGTCCAAAGGCTGCTACCTGGGGACACATTCCAGATGTGTTGGGCAACAATGTGGCCACTTCCCTGCTCTGGTTTCCCTCCTTTGCATCATTTTGGCCTTCTCTTCTAGATCTGGAGGCCCCGCCCAGACTCTCCTCTGTGGCCTTGGCTTGCTCAACGAGAAACACTGTGGAAATCCTCCTAGCCTATTGCATCAGCAGCAAAAACACCAAACACCCTACCGTAGACTGATCAACTGCACAACCCACAGCAAAGCCTTGCCCTGAAAACTTTTTAAATTTAAAAAGAAAGAAAAACAGCCTTCCTTCCCCCAAGACTTTTCTGGCAGGTTCAAGTCTTGGGTCACAGCACAGTTGAATTCTTTCCTTCATTCTATTTCTCTATCAGTGGCCGTGCCCTCTTTAAATTCATTCATTCATTCATTCATTTTATACATGTTTATTGAGAACATGCCATTTGCCCAGCACTGTGGCAAGACAGCAGGGTACAGAAAAAGGCAAAATGTGTGTCCCAACACCTTTATGTCCCTGATGTTTGATCTTTATACCCCATCTCAAGCCAAGCACAGGGGTGTTCAGAAGAGTTGGATAAACTCTGGCTCCAAATAACCATCAGCCTTCTGCACATGCTCAGCCATACAAATAGCAGGTAGATGCGGCTCTGGGTGCCCCATGGTCCTCACTTCTAGGCCTCTGTGCATGCCATCCCTGTGCCCTGGAATGACTTTCTCCTCTCATTGCTTCTCCAGCCTGAGCATTTCTTCTTCCTGACACCCTCTGCATTCAGCTTCCTCTGTGTGCCCACAGGATCATGAGAGGGAGAAGTGGCACTTGCAGTGTGTGGTGCTGGGGATTGAAGCCAGGGCCTTGTGCATGGGAGGCAAGCACTCTGCCAACTGAGCTACAACCCCAGCCCCTGACCCTTTTCAATTGGACTGAGGTTTACTTCCTATGCAGGGCCAGAGTCACAGGTGGCCCTGAACACTATATTAGCCCAGAGGATATTTTGACCAGAGGTCCCAGGCCCCTCCTCCTGGGCCAGACCCCCGCCCCTTGCTATTCCCTGGAGGTGGAATAGGATGAAAGGGACTCTGTGAGTGGAGTCTTCAGGCCAGAGAAGAAGCCGAGCCCCAGGGCTCCGCTGTGCTGAAAAGGAGTGAATGTGCAGGTGGCCATGGGCGTGTGAGCTCCAAACCAGCCCTGTCGCATGGCTGGCCCCTGAGTCAGGCCCAGGCGCTGACAGCCACGTGG